ATATTCAATTTTCAACATTCATTATTCAATCATTCAACATGTATATTCATCATTCATATTCAACATTTTTATTCAACATACATCATACAATATTCATCATTTGTCATTCAACAATATCCTTAAACTATTCTTAGTCTAAGGCCAATCTATTTGATGTTTACCAACTCTTAAACGAATTCTAGTCTAACATAGTTAAACTATATTCAAGTTTAAGGTACTCTTATCTAACCCTTAAGCTAGGCCTAGTTTAAGATATAAATTTTCAAAAGAGGTTTTCAAAATCTTAAACTTACCTTCGATTAAGGTCATCCAAAAACCGAACAGCGGATCCGAAATGCTCACTGTCGGGTTGGGTGGTATCCCAAAACGAGTGCCTCAAGTTTGGTTTGTAGATCTCGCACGTACGTTTTAACCCAGGCCACCGAATACTCATGATTATACCCGCAAGGCCTACTTCTAAGCTATCTTAGAGGTCTTCTAGATAGTCTTAGAAACCAAAGTCAACCTAGGTATATCTTAGAGTTCTTCTAGATATCCTTACAATCCAAATCATTTCATAATCATCAACATATTCATTTAAATATATAATTTAATCCTTGATAATCATTTTAATCAGTGGTTTCATCAAGCCATAATCATCATAATAATCATTCATCATACTCATCAATCAACATAACATTCGATAACAAATAGCGGCCTAGCTTCGAGTGTTAACACCCGAACTTACCATCATGCATCACATAACATTTTATTTGTCAAAAACATCATTTTTATTGTGGTAAATCATTTTTATAATGATCATAATCAATTAGTATCAAGAATAGGATTTTAGAGCTCAAAAATAACATTTTAGACAAATTTTCGGGTCAGAGCTTCGGGGGATCGATCCAGCCCTCTGGATCGATCAAACTAGAAGAAAAACTCCCAGATGATCGATCCAATGAAGAGGATCGATCCACTCTGTGGATTTTCAGCCACTGTTCATTCGTCTTCAACCTCAGTCCATTTTTCGGAAAAACCATTTTTAATCACCGAACTTCAATTAAACTATATAGAGATGTTCTCCAAGGTTCATAGATCATTTTGGAATTATTAATTCATAGTTTTAACATCAATTTCATGGTTTATGATTCTTGGTTCTTCAAGCATGTCAAATACAAAACTCAACCAAACGACCGTTTATGAACGTAGAAACGATCTATACGAACATTCTAGTCACTAGA